CAGTCGACAATAAAGCGCAATTTTTTGGTGCTGCGTCTCGCTCTAGTGCGACCAAGCAGTTTTAGGGCCCAAACTGCAAAACTGGGAGAGTTTCGTCTGCGTTAAGAGCGTGTAAGTTCCATGCGTAGTTTATTAGAGCAAGATGTCTTCATTGCGAATTCCCTTGTACGATTTCGAAGCTGAATAATTCTTGCAGATATTGGTCCTTATCTTCATTTGGGTCTGCATACATTGCTCTTCATCTTGGCTTTAGTCACACGTTCACCGTTATTACATTTTTTCCATCGATGACTTGATTCGCCTGTTTCTCTTATTTTAATCAATGCACTTTTCACTTGAAGGTATAAGAGTTTTTGTCTTCATCTTCTTGAATACGATACAATAGACCAGAAAAAGATCAAGGTAGTATTTATAGGTTTTAATTCCCTACTCCTAAAGGCGTTAGCTTTTCAGTTCATACTCGTTGCCCTGTAACTTCAAAGTGTTGAAAGTTGTAACCCATGCAACGTTATTTGTTGGTGCCTGTCCAAAATTGCCAACTTATTTACTTGTGGTTGGATATATTTTGAGCGCCATATTTACAGCATGAAATGAATACGTGCGAATAATTGACTCGTTAGCCATTTTCAAGATTAATTACCCTATTAACGAATTTTTAATTGAACGTGAACCTCTCTATTTGCTTATGAAACAAATTGGTTTTAAATTTGACACAAATTCAGTCGTTCTAATAGTGAATTGTCACAAATATAACCCCAAGAACGACGACAATAATGATTGATGATCGTCAAAATATATCCAACCACTACGTGGTTGGATATATATATTTCAAGTGTATATATACTACGTGGTTGGATATATATATATATAGGTACACTTGATGATCGTCAAAATATATCCAACCACTACGTGACACGTAGTGGTTGGATATATTTTGACGATCATCAAGTGTACCTATATATATATATATCCAACCACGTAGTATATATACACTTGAAATATATATATCCAACCACGTAGTGGTTGGATATATTTTGACGATCATCAATCATTATTGTCGTCGTTCTTGGGGTTATATTTGTGACAATTCACTATTAGAACGACTGAATTTGTGTCAAATTTAAAACCAATTTGTTTCATAAGCAAATAGAGAGGTTCACGTTCAATTAAAAATTCGTTAATAGGGTAATTAATCTTGAAAATGGCTAACGAGTCAATTATTCGCACGTATTCATTTCATGCTGTAAATATGGCGCCGTGTTTACTTGGTAAACAAGGAGTGCCAGTTTTAATTATTTTCCCTCAGGGTTCTGCTGGTGCCAGTGCGTCAAGCATTGAAAATGTAAGTTAATTAAAGGCTGCCTTCATGCCGAGTGTTCGCCTGAGCTGATTTGAAATTCATTAAGGAATAAACTACGCACGACTTGGTCATAAAAGACTCTCTTGGATTATTTGTACGCCTCAGCACTGGCAGAATCTAGCCCTGCTCTGAGCCTCAATGAAACCTCGTGTAATATGACTTGTTGGAGCTAGGCCGAAAAAAAAAAGTTTTCAAGAAAATCAAATTTTCCATATAAAGTTCCAAGTGTTAGGGGATTCAATATATCGCCGGTCCTTTTCTTTATGTCATTTCATTCATTTTTATTTTAAATTGAACCTAAATAGTTCATTATAGAGAAGCATTTCAATATGAAATACCGTAATAAGATACTGTCATAAAAGTGCTATTTTCGAACTGTACTCTGAAATAACTCGAAATGCGGCCACGGTTTTTTCGTTATTACGCTCGCTGCACCAGTTCAACCGTTCTTTAAGGAATTACTCTGATGATTGGAATTTTGAGGAAAAATGTTGGTTTTTCTTTGAGCAAAATGACTGCTGGATCTGCGCTATTTTTATGTAGCTGAATTAGAATGGCCGATATTGCAGTGGCGAGGAGCTCCAATAGCACCTTGAGTGCCCTTAAGTCCTCTTGGAAGGAGGATATCATTTCAGGGAATAGATTCGCGTGTAGCAGCTGTGCTGGTGTTATGCGAACAAAAACGTGCTTCGTGTAATTGATTTCACCTGGCAATTCACCCGTTGCCGACCACGCGCCTGATGGCCAGTTTGTGCTATGAGGATGAACTTTTTACGCATATAAATTATAGGTATGCCTTAGTTTATGCATAACTAACTTTAGATTGCAATATTTTCTCGCAGTTACCATTCATTGGTCACAGCATTTGCGACTTTTAATCATTAAAGATATATGTACTTATTACTTCACTGCGGGAGCTCAAAAAATTATCCCTATATTTATAACGTTTATAGGAAGTGTTCGAGGTAGATGCAGCAACATAATGTAGGTAACTATGTGTATATTCCGGCAGTCTTTGTATATGATATTGTCGAATTAAGATCGAGGCTATTGCCTTGTAATTATTAAGATCGACTGAATTAACCCATCCTTGATGTTCCAAATATTCCTAATTACGACACCTTGAAGTCTTCTCTCTATGTCCGTAATAAGATTACATTATATGCTAGAGATATGATATCACTTAAAGTCCATTAGGATACTAACTTTCAAGAAAATGAGAATGTTGCTCATTTTGTGAGCTGAAAACTTGAGGGGCTTCAATCTCAGGTGCTTCAAATATTAGGAATTTTGAAATAATATTTCAGTTTTTTGGCCATTGCGTGTGAATCCGGTCACATCACATTTTTCAAATGTTTTGAAGCCTTATATTGAATAAATTGCAGAATCTGCCGGCGCAGGATGTTATTATTCTTTCATGCCACTGCCCGCACTTCTATCCAATCCAATTCCAGGAGATCAGGTTCACTTCGCCTTCTGCCGGAGACTCCCCTCCTTTTACTGCGAATTTAAATTTTTTTTAATGAAATTATATCGCCAGCTCGGGCATGACCTCTCAGAGAAACTTACCAACATCTGCCTGCTGATTCTGTTGCCCATTCAGTAATTTGGACCTCTATTCCTTTCCTTTTTGAATATTTAGCGCGAGTATAAATGCGACAGTCTTTCCCGAAACGTTGCTTCAAAAGCATCTCCGCCTAGTATTTCTTGCGTGACAAATTAAACATTGAAGAAAAAATTATTTCATGTTGAAAACATGACGGGTAATTTGGGTTGCGTTTATATGATTGCATCTATATTTTTATTTCCATCTTATGGCCTGCTGATCTCCAATCACACGATTTAATTGGCCTTATATAGAGCAGAGCGTTCATACCCACCAATGTTTCTTACTAAATAGCTCGTGAAAAGCCATTCGTCTCTGGCCAGACGCAGCAATTTAGTTCTCATCACTGAGTCATACACTCATACTCCTCTATTCATGAACGCACTCATATATACGTACGTTTTGTACATTGAACTCTAAAGCCGTCTGTAAAGAAACCGACACTTGCTATTCTTTTAATCTAGGACAAGTGGTACATATTCTTTTCTGCATGCATGCTTGCGCTAGATTCAATTTTTCCCTTCACAAGAATGAATTTCAGTCTAGTCTTGAAAATAAGATAATTTTTGTTTCTGCTCAAAGTCTATATTTAAAACTCTTGCTATAGCAGAGACCAGTTTACTCACTGCAATTTGCTGGGCACTGCCGGTTGCCTGTATTTGCGGAAATTGCGGTCAAATGCCGCTCTCCTTGGACGGTGAAGCAGAAGATTCCCAGCCGAATTAATGCAATCCGCATGGCAACGAAAAACATTACCTTGTATAAAGCAAAATAAGTTTAGATTGGATTTTTTATGTTTTCTCAATGGCTAGAAGCAATTTTAAAGCGCCGCTGTTTCTAAGAATAAGAAGCGAGTAGTTTTTGTTTGGTTTGGTCTACAGTGATTAATTGACGTGCCAATGTTTGGTTCATGAAACCACTGGTTGGCTGGTAACTCGTTGAAAGGAAAAGAAAATTCTGCACATAAAGAGAAAACTCGTTTTTCTTATTTCGGTTGACCTCTGGTTTTATTCGTGGTCTCATCAACAGTCATGAGGAAAGCGTTTAAGAATATTAAAATTGCAGTAAATTGTTGGGTACCAACATGATGTCTAGTGCGAGTCTAGCATCAGTGGCGTGTAAACATGAAAGCCAGAGGTTAGAGTGGAGCCTGCCAGAGCAGGGCGAAGCAATCTTCGTTATTGGTGAGACGTTTTATGGATCTGACCTCGTCCATCGTCGGCCTGCCGCTCTCGCCACACGGTCAAAATTGGGCGTCGACCAGTGGTCCAGTAGCGTGCATTTGGGAATTTGGGCTGTTGCGGAGGCAGTGCGAAGCGTAATTGGTGTGTGTAAGTGTGTGGTTTTGCTATTTACTAGTTCTGCTTATGGGATATGAAGCGCGATATTTGGCGTGCTGACATGGAACCATTTGTAAACTGTATATCAAAGTTGGTTATGATAATTATCATTCGTGTCTTCTGTCTTATGTGTCAAATGGGAGGGGTTGAAATTTTAAATGATTTGCTTACGGTTTCAAAGAATGAGAACATCTGAATCATGTTTCTTTTGGTATTTAAACAGTTGGTAACATTTAATACTGATTTATTTTTTTCAGGTTTCTACATCTGCTTTCTATTTCCGGAAAGAAGAACTTACCGGCTGAATAATAATATTTTCACAAACTGACTGAAAGGGTAGCAAAGCTGCTGCAGCATCGGCTTAAAATGGCGTCAGAAACTCTCAAATTTCGATTGAAAACTAACGACGGCAGAGGAGGGTTGAGCCACGATAAACTAGGATAAACTTGGCATGGAAGTGATATAGAAATGAGAAACTGTACAACTTATGAAGAAGTTTCCCACTGAATGAAAAGGTTCACTTACGTGTTTGGTTGCAGAAATTTGTTGCATCCTTTATGATGTATCATAATTCACACAATGCAAGCGTTAGAGAGTACCCTAGTGAACGAATTTTCTAAATCTCGTCGAAAATTAGTAACTAATGAAAATTCTTTAATCGTACATGAGGGTTCATAGACTTAGTGTTGCTTCTCAGTTGGTAGAACTTTTCCTTTGACTCTGATTTTGTGCCAGAAGCAATGTGATGTGATGTAGTGAATTAGTCGTATCCCGCTAAACAATTGAATGGTACGAGAAGAGAATGTTGTGTTTCGCATTCCTTTCTTGACTCGCAAGTTTTCTGTCAAGAATTTTTTGTTTGTGCGGTTATTGTTTCCTAAGAAGACGATGGCCTCGTGTTCTTCCCGGCAATCTTACCGGGCCGTGAGCACTGAGAATCTGCTGGCTCCCCCCGAGGAGGCTTTCGCTCCCCTCTTACCAAAACCTCGCATCGTAATGGGCGACTCTGGTGACTCGGGCGACAGTTTCTTGGGACCATCAGGAGGCGGTCAGTACCTCAACTTGAGCCATGAGCCCCCGGGAGGCACGCGGTCGGTGCCAGATATCGAGATGCATGCAACGAGAATGCATGCTTCGTCGTCGTCTGCAGGAGGCTCTCGTGGTCACAGGAATGTGATGGGACACGTGAGGTGCTCATGTTCCCACCTGCCGCGTGCGCCGTCCAAGGAGAGCATTCGGTCCGTGCAGAACAACGAGGTGCTCGTCGTCGCCCCATCCTCGTACAGGTCAGTTGTGCTCATGGAGATGGAGAATATTGTGCACATCAATGATTTATCCTGAACATAAAAGTTTGCTGTTGTTCTTTATCATAATTCATGTAATAAGTGTCAGTTGAACATGATTTTATAGCGTATAACTCTCATTATGAAGTTGTACGGTTCTGGGTTACAGAGACCGCATCATCCGACAACACTCGCAGCCGGAGACATGCATGCACTGCCACGCCCCCAAGCCCTCTGGGTCACTGCGCTACTTACCGCGCTTCGACCACCACACCGCCCCCCTCGCTGAGGGCTTTGCTGCCATCGCTGCTGACTCACTCAGGATCAACGGCGCACTGAGACACTTCAAGCAGGTAAGTGAGTCTTGCAGTTCAGTAGAGTCAACTAACAAATTCCTTCGAACAGATCTGACTATACCATAATAATTTATCCAAAGCCAGCGAAGTGGATCTTAAAGCATCACCATTACCCATGGTACTCGCGAATTTAACTTTATTTTCAGACCACTAGTGTAGAACTGACCGTGATTGCTCGACCATCGGAGTTTTTGAGTTTAGCAAAAATATATATTTGTTTGCTGTTGCTCGAACACAATCACAAATTATCCTGTTCGGAATTTCAACTCTGGCGGGAATTGCACCCGAAAAATTCGGTAATTGATCCATAAAAATTAAATTCACGCGTTCCACATCATGGTCCACTGAAGCATGAATTTCATATATTGGGTGTCTTGATGCGTTTGCTAATTAGGAAGTAAAGAGTCTACGCTAAACTATGGTTTTCTATGATGAATGTTCAACTGGAAGAAAACTTTTAAGCGCCCACTTAGCTCAAAAAGATACTGATCTCTCCGTTTCAATGCAGAGGAATACATGGCATTCATTTCTTCAGTGAAGCTTGGTATTTTCTGTTAATATGTTTTTCATTACTTTACGTAGATTTTATAAGCATTGTACGTGTATTTATTTTAATCTACGGATTTTACTATCAATATTTAATTATTGCAGCCTAGACAGCGGATAATGTATGAAATTCTACGGATTAAGCATCGCATATTTACTTTACTTTCCATCTAAACTGATTGAAAATGTCGTCATTGTCATGATTATTTTAGCATTTTTTTACTAATTTTCAAAGTTCATCTATCTGTGACGAAGCATTGAAAAATTTAATGTGCAATAATTGAGCAGAAATCACACAAAGTGTTACTTGTTAGTTCATTAGCTGCTCGGTTTTCAAGTATTTATTCTTTCTACTCTTGTGAATAAACCCATGAATTACTATGTATTAAGCATTCCAATAACTTCCTGGTAGTTCTTCTTGTATATAAATGATTACATTTCTCCCGCGTAAACAAAATTGAAGCCTGATTCGTCGGGCGTACCTCGCTGACTGCACCATGTAGATTACCAGGCCAAACCGAATGCGTTAATTTCCTTCTCATTGTTTATTCATGATTTGTAGCTAATTTCTGCCATGCCTCTAACTTATCCTAATTATCGTGTGTAATTACCTGATTTTGAAATCGAAATAAGTATGATGATAAGTCAGTCAATAGTTTATTCTGGCAATCTCCATTTATTTGTTCAAACCGCAAAGCTCAGCATTCGCGCCACGGAAATCCAAGTTACTCAACGAATCTCTGAGCTTTTTCTAGTAACACTCAGAAAGAAAAATTGCTTAAATTCTACAAATAATGACATACTTACTGCACGTAGCACTGATACGCCCTTTCCTTTGACGAAACTGAAGCAGGATGGCCCACACCAGGGTAAAGAGTGCATCGCTCATTGACAAAGTGTCATTTAATTCTCTGAGTGTAACCGTTGACTCGCCGGCTCTGCAACCCCAGACTATTCCTTTTAATTACAACGAACGACGACCTCGAGACTCTCCATAATTACGAGATGAAGACTTGCTTTTAGAAGTCATGATCATCGGGCTAGCTTGGGTCTTTTTTGCGACAAATTCGTGGCTAGAGAAAACTTTTTTCTCTCTCCCATTCACGTAACTAATTGATGAGCTTCTAGCCTCGTGTGAGTGTTGTAAAACGCATTTATCAAGGATTTAAGACTTTTAACCGGCTTTTATTGTATCTATGTAACTAAATGATGTTTGTAAAGTTTTCATTATTAGGGTCGTTATCTTTCTAGTCTCTATAACGATTTGTTGAGCTTTTACTTTATGTATTTTTATGGTAATTACAAATTTAATTTTTTCTGAATTTTGTATGTCCAATGAACATTTTGCTAGACCAACATAAATACATTTTAAAATTTGTTATGAACTACTTAATAAATGACATGGTGATTTATGATGAGGCTGATAATTTCGCATATTCCACTTGCAATCGCCTTTTCAGTCCTTGTTCAGAGATCGCGTTGAAGATTATCTTCGTTTCTTCGAAGATGTCAATTTCCTTCAGCATGTATTGTATTCACAGCGTACAACTATTTAATAATAAATTATTTTTCGTAATGATAATTATTATTTTGATTGAAAAAATCATTATTTATAGTCTATAGATAATCAATATTTCCTAATCTCATATGTTGATGGTATGAGAATTTCTCATCCGTTATCGGTACATTTACTAATTTTTCATTGACTTTTCCTGGGGCTTGCATGCATCACACCTATTTGCGTGCTTGTGCTGCCTAGCCATGCGGCACGGAAGCAATACACAAATTAGTCCGTGACGCTGCATCTTTGTTAGCGCCAAACACCGTCGCTTCTGTCCTTGTTAGACCACCGTTATGGTACCCTAATTTTGCTTGCATCTACAGCTGGCCTCTTTTGCTTTCTTTATCTACACAGGTTTTTTTATAACATTTCTGCTAATTCTTATGACTTTTTCTTACATCTTAAGTTGTATGGCGTGTATACTCCTTCTACTTGCTATGCTATTGTTTCTTAGCTTGTTCCTTATTCTTGTTTTTATGCAAAATAGTTCTATGGAATAGGAGGAAAAAATGTAGGGAACTTGTAATGTTGTTATTGTAATGTAACATCTCGCAAAAAGCCTTACCGACGACTCGTCCTTACTAATAAAAGCCCTTATTACTACTCGTACAGACCTTTATCATATAAGCTTCAATAATAATATGATTTTATTCTTCTTGAGGATTGATGCGAAGAAAAAACTAGAATAAATTGATGGATTCAACTAACGTAGCGAAAACTTACTAGAAGCTAATGGTCAATTAAATGCTACCATTTCCTATCATTCCTCAAAACCTATTTTTCTAATTAAGTGAAAATAATAACAAAGTTTTTCATTATATCAAGCATGACTTTACAATTAAAAAAATTTAACGAAACTACTGCCTTGTTCGAGACTATAGTGAGAAGGACGAAAATTTGTAAGGTAATCGATGATGAAATTACCATCAAAAAACTTATTTGGAAAAGGCCAGCTTAAATTCTTTGATATGTACTAGATTAATTTGTACCCTGTTTGATTACCTGTTGTTTATATGAATCTACAACTAAAATAAACTAGGTATAGCTGTAATAAAAAATTTTAGATTGAACTTCAGCCAATTCAAGGAACTAAAGAGCGCCTTGCATCACTACCTTCTCGAATTGGTCAAGAATTGCCAACTCTCGAATGATGCACTGTTGCTGTGATTTGAAAAATGCACTTGGCTTGCAGGGTAATGAGTCTTATTCAATGCAAATTTAACAGTTGGTAATAATTATTACATAGTAGTATAAAGTGATGAATGGTCATACATCACAAACAAATTTGCATCCTATCTTCTTCACAGAGCAAATCGTGGAGTCAGCTGAGTGAGTTCCAAAAAGTAAAATGGACGGAAGGTATTGTCAATTAATTCATTTATATGAGTTAGATATGCGTATCGACGATTTTATAGCTTCTTGAGCTTTAGAAATCTTACAGCTTAAAAAATTATTAAATAGTAGTGATATATTTAAAATACTAAAATTACTGATTCTATATTTAGAAGAAGAATTGATAGTACACTAATATCAAGGATAAAAGTTGCTCTAGGGTGGGGTTAGATACTTGGTCGATGAAAAAATATTGATTTGAATAATTACTGACCTCAAATATCTCCTACCCAATTGATCAAAATGATCCTGCTTTTAAATTTAGATAGAAAATAAGGATAGGCAAATGAAAAAATAAATATGAAGGCGTTAGAGGCATATCGAATGTCTAAAGAAGAATTTTCAGATGTAAATCCAAATTCGCAAATATCGAAGGAAAAGTTGCAAATTTGCCGAATGTTAGTCTTCGGGAGCGAAATATGAACGAGCTTTCCGGAAATGACGGAAGTAAGAGCAAAGTTGCGAAAATGAACGAGAAAGTATTACCGTTAGAAGTGAATCAGCATAAAATTAAAGCAATTATAAACTCTGGCAGCATCGATGAAAGCATTAACATGAATGATGTAGCGAATGTATTTAAACTTCAGTACGAGTTATCTGAGCGATTCGATTAAATATAAAATGCATGGAAGAGGTGAAAAACCTCAACATCGATTGATGAAAGTTAATAGACCAAGAGTAAGCTACGACATATTCAAAAGAATGATAAAGCTACTGGGAGCTTACTCCATTGCATAAGGGAGTAAACTGCACTAGTTATACTGGGTAATTTCCTGTCTCCATTGATACTATGAAGTAATTACCCAATATGTTACGAAAAATTGACTAAAAATGTAAGATTTTCCACTTGTATTTTGAATCACTCGTTTCATCGCCACAAAACAATACAATTTACCATTAACGCTTGTCTTAACTACCTCATCCGCTCTGAAACTTTTCCTGTGTTCCTGAATAAATTTCCGTAGTCTTGCCCTATAAGAGGTTATGAGTCTTTCAAATTTCGTGAAGGTTTTAAGTTATTCCGGGGATGACGCGAGCGACGCTGCACGGTCCGCGGGAGGCACGATTGATGGAGTCGGCGTGCAGCTCTCCGAGGCGTTCAAGTAATTCGTTAGAGTTTTACCTGACTTGCCTTCACTGCAATGCATTATATTCTAAAGCTTCAATGACGGGTGGTTGCTTGAAAATTTCAATATACTCGTAGAAATAAAGTAGACTTTGTAGAAATAGCGTTGTAGATTTTGCCCTTTTGTGCGTCATCTTGACCAAGTTTGGCCCGGCAGAAGGGTGTATCATTGCTACGGGCAGAAAGTTCTGAGTAGATGCACGTTCAAGACGGTTATTCAGGATGACCGGATAGACGGGGTATGAAGCGTCCTCGAACCTTTCCGTTTTTCTATGCATCATCGGGTTTCTATAGTAACGGTGAAGGACGATGAATTGTTTAGCCATTCCATGTCAGATTTAATTAGATGCTTTGGCTCACGAATGGGAACTGTTAAACTGCCGAAGAGTCTAATGTAGTAAATTCCTTTATATTTTCATTTTATATGCTCTTGGAATAGAATATAGCTATTTTACCGGTAGGTGAGGTAAAAAAGGTGTTTGCTATCAAAGTTCTTAGCGATTTTTACGCGATCTTTCCCCGCGTATAGTGGTTGCGGAAATTACGCAGTCATTACATTTCTGTCGATGCTCGATAGTATCTGTCATTAAAGCTGCTGAAACTCGTTCATATTTTGTCACCAATATCGGGCATGCACTCATCATTCTACTCCTCTGTATGTGAAGTAACCTTCATCATCGCCCTCGATGGATCGCAAATTGTCGACGTGGGTGATTAATAATTTACCACGGAGGCTGCCGTAAATTTTTCTCGTGCGGTATTTTAGTTAATTTTTTGTTCGTTTACGTAACATTTTAAATGCTGTGTAAAATTATGAAGAAAATAATTTTTCACTGCGATCGAGTACTGTTCGCGTTCACCAATATTTGTAACTAAAATTCGTTTTTTATTATTCATACGTTTCCCACGTGCATGTTTTTCGACCATTAAAATTATTCTGAACTTGCAATGTTTTTCCCAGGCAAATGAAATAATAATTCACAAATTAGATTACCTCTGTTGAAACGTCCCCTATTTTAAATTTACGTGCAAATTTTGAGCCAATTGAATTCGGCTTGAAATTTCAAAGTGTTGGTGACAGCTGTCCCAAAGTTTTGAACACGATTTACCTCTCGCCTTTCAACTGTAACGTACATTGTTTACATCTAATTTGTGTCTGCGCTGTCGAAAATATTCGCATGACCGATGCGCCAGTTGGTGCAGAAAAAGCGTTAATTAAAGACAAGGAAGCACTGCGTGCCAGAATGCGCATATCCTCAGGGACTTAATTTGAGTACAAACTCTTCATCTTCATTGACTCATTTTTATTTCTATCCAATAAAATCTCTGTGTACCAATAATAATTCTGAAGGATTACTGAGTTTGTCTTTGTGCTTGGATGTCTTATAAACTATGCATGGTAATTATAGTATCGATTTCGTCTGATGAAGGTTCACATTGGCTGCTGATTCACTATGAATTAGATTCCATTTATTTAATGGCCACTGTGATTGCGTTTAGGCCTTGCTGCCGCATGACTCGCTACAATAAATACGTCAGCTCTCTGTTTATGACAAGGTATGCACATCATTATTGGTCACTTTTTTTCTGTGGCAGACATGATGTGCCTTAGGCTATCGTCTAATTCCTGAGGTGAAGTTGTAACTTTCTCCTCTCCTTGAAGGTGTAAGTTATTGTTAATTGGCTTCGATTTAATGTGATATTTAATAAAAGCTTACAAAAGTTTACCGCTTTGCTGCTCCGACGATCAAAAAGGTAATTTTGTATATTACGTATCATCTCTCCTTTAAGATGAATTATTATCTTATGGGTTAATGAACTGATTAACTAGAGTGATGGATATCGAACTAGTAGTGTGATCGTATTATTAAATCAGTGAAGTGAAACACTATGGTCAGATCTACTGCCAAGATGTCTGTTAGCTTCCGATTCTGCTATACGAACCAAAGATCGTGACGCAAGCCATTTGAATAAAAATTGAAATGAAGAATGAAGTTTGTAAATAAAAAAAACAATGATAAAATAAACTTCAATAAGAAAATGTAACCCGTGCGCTTCCTTCTGCCTGAACTATCACCAAAATAACTAACACCAATTTTTACCCATATCCAAGCTTTTACCCAATTTTTTTTACTTACCTATATCCAAGCTTTGATACCCTTTAGTTTAATCTTATTTCGGAGTCATATAAAGCAGTTTAGCAGCGATCTCTTGATTTGGCATGATTCGGCAGTTGGAATTGGATTATTAATAAATCAATAAATTTAATATAAATATGTTCTGGGTTGATTACTATGGCTTTTTATAGAAACTCTCTGCTTAATGAAGTGCACAAGCGCAAGAGCGTGCAGCGTTGCATGGTGAGACGCGGCAACCTCGCTCCTGGAAAGGTCACCTACTACGGCTTGTTGCTCCGCGTACTCACTTCCTGTTAACCAATTCAATCCATCCTGAATATCCTCAACCCGCTTTATTGATCATTTCTTTCTAAAGTCTGTGTTGATTCATAAAGGGCAAAGGTAAGTTGTTAGAACTAACCATGCCATTGGTACATTTTCAATAAAAAATTAATAATCCCCAGTGAATTAACGGGGAGATGTTGGTTTATGTCTGAGGTTCTGTACACTGACAATTCAGTGCAAATCTGGTCCCCACTTTTCAACGGATATAAATGAAGAACAAGGAAAACTGCACAGCACCCACTGGAATTATTTTATACTTACTGGCGAAAAAAAACTGCGAGAATAGATGATATATATCGCTACTCGAGCATTCAAGTCTACGCAATAATTTTCTCATCAATCGCCATGAACCGCTTGCATTGTGGCTTCAGTTTCTGAAGCAAATTATTCGCGCTCTATTCGAGTTCGCGAGATTAGTCCGTGAAAGCTTTGTCTAGTCCATGAGCTTTTCATGGCTGACAAAGGAAATGCCTTTGACCATCATCCAGTGGGTGATATTATTGCTCGTGCTGCTGGCTATTACCGAATTGTGTTGGGCCAGTTAAGGCTTGGCAGCGGAGGCGGGTGGCTGTGTCACGCCGAGTGTCTGGATTCCTGTAGCGAGCAGACCGTTTAGTGGAGGCTCAGTTTCATCTTCTTTTGCTTATTAGCCACAGCAACATTAATTTAAATCAGTTTGTTGACAAATTGTTCGTTTCTACCATAGAATTAGTTTTTATCCAAGCTCGACAAACATCTATTTTTTGTGTTTATTGCATGATGATAATTTACTTATAATTCAAATCCAACTTTACTCGTTAATAATGGATAAGCAATTATTTTCGATGTGTATGTTTGACAATAGTTGAATTTCGTGAGAATATCACGTTGAAGTGAGTTGCATTATTGTTAATTTGAATGCATAAAACTCTGGACTTCCTTTATCTTTATTCGGAAAAAACTTCCACTGAAAAGTTGAAAATGATTGTTCTTGAAAAAAATTCTGCTGAAATATGGGCTGGACAAAAGCTATGCGGTAATTATGTGTTGCGAAACATCATTAAGTGTATATTGTAAAAAAAAACTCAAAAGTGTGGCGCTTATATGTTTTAAATGATTGTTTGCAATATTTAATGAAACATTATTTGTTGATGTTCAATCGTTATTTTGTAGAAATTCGTGGTACATGCAACATCATTTCCAATTCGAAAAACTTTTGGTAGGAAAATAGGTGCCTTTAATTTTTTCAGTAACTTCGGGGAAAAGCGACAATTGTCATTACATTTTCAGTTCACTTTTCAATTTACATTTAGGATTATTACTTTTTTATTCAAATTATTGAATATTGATCATCAAATGTGAATTTTTGCATTGGAATCAATGATGTCGAATCGGGGGGTCCAAACTACGTAAAAAATAATCAGATTAGTAAAGTTCTTTGACAGCCGAGATTTTCGCCCGCTCTGAATTTAACACCTCAACTCGCGTTTTGTTGCAGGCACAAATTGCCTATCGAATTGCATCGTTTGCTATCCATCAACGTGGCTACGGCTCTCGCTAACTCTACACTTCATGTTGAATAATTATTGTTCTGAAAAGCTATTCGTTTACTTTGAGGCTTTATTCAAAATTTATTTTAAGTGAGTGAATATACGTCATTTGGAAGTTTCAATCTAATAAATAATCGATCAATATTATTCGTGTTGATGATTAATTCAAATTGAAATTTCAGCTTCAAAGAAATCAACTATTGAAATGGCCTATTTTCTACATGTATATTGCAGTTATCAGCTACTATGTTGTGTCCCTAGGCGAATTTATACATTGTTTATTTTTCGGCAGATATATCGGTTACATGTGTTTTACGACCATTCAGCCTATTGCCACGAGCAACGCTCTGATTTTCCCCGATATTTACTACGAGCGATGATTCTCACAATCCTTCCGAACCGTTTTAAGGGTCTTTCAATATAAACGTGAAGGAAAGATAATTTTTAAAGGAATAAAAATTTAAATTATTCTCATATTTCTTGGAATTGAATTCGATATTATAGTCTCTATTATTATTACTATTATTATTATTATTATTTTTATTAATATTATTATTATTATTTTTATTATTTTTTTTAATTAGTTGAGGGCAGGGTGGTTCTGTGCTTACAGTTCAAAGTACTAGGATTACTGCAGTGAGTTGCGTGTTCGAAACCGCAACGAGCTGGGAATATTGTGCAATGTTAAGAGTCTGCTACAGGCTATTATTAAGCCGCTATTATTATTGTTAAGTGAATACACTTATCTAGTTATGATTATCATGAGCAACTGATCGAAGTTCCATTCACTTATCCTAACCAAACACAGACAAATAATTTCGCTGTGGTTCATGCCACAACACGGCTTGTCCAACGATACGTAAGCAAAAGCTAATTACAGCAATTCTAAGCCATTTGAGGGCCGTCAATCCGAGATAAGCACGCAGTTCTCTGAACTAATTGGAAAAATGGGGCGTGAGTGTTGCACCTGAGCTACAGCTCCGCAAAACT